GTGTGTGTGTGTGTGTGTGTGTGTGTGTGTGTGTGTGTGTGTGTGTGTGTGTGTGTGTGTGTGTGTGTGTACAGTGATTACTTAGTGAAGCAGGTTAAAATCCCAATTCCAAATATCACAAAGAAAAAAATGGGTTGTGCTCCACATTAGCTGTGGGTAATTTAAACAACTGTGTTTTGAACGTATGTCTTTGAACTGTGGATGATACTGCAGCAGCTACAGAGCAAACTCATACAGACAGTGGAGAACAGAACTGCTTACAAGACAGTCACGTTTGTGGATTTAGCTTCTCAGACTGCTCAAACCCATCGTCAGAAGCTACAAGATAAAAGCATAGCGTATGAATACTTTTCTAAACTTCTCAAAGGTATAATATGCAGTAATTACTGGTTTCTGTTTGCAAACATGGTTTAGGTTTACTCATTTAATACTTTAATGATGCACTATATTTGACAAAAAACAAATACAATAAAAGCACGTTTTACTTACAGGGTGGTGAACATTTATCTAAAAAAATCAGTTATCAGTTGTCATATTTTCTTTTCACTGCACATACATATCTTTTGTGCCTTCCACCTACTGAATACTGTATCCCACATTATCAATTCCCTTTGTATTTACATGACTGTGGCTCTAAGCTTTATACTGTTGCTTTAGATTTCTGTGTTTTGGGTATTTGCAGTCAAACTCATTGGGCCGAATAGATTAAGACATGACTAAAAACCAAAATTTAATATTCTCACCTTTCTTCTTTTTGCAAGCTGCAAATGCCACAGCTGTGATGAGGATGAAAGCTAGGAAAACCACTGCAGCACTGATGAAGATCACCGTGTCAGTGGGCTTTACTGTTAAACAAGAAATGGCAACACTTTGTCATACAGAGCAGAAAAGTCAAATCAAGGCAACAGTCACCCAGACAAAACAATAGTTTCAAAACCATTACAGGATGCAGTCTTACCCATGTTTGTCTTGATCACTGCTTTGTCCAGTTTTGTGATGATATCTTCGTTCACACCAGAGAGATGAAACACACAGTCGTACCTCTGCCAGTCTTCATGTGGGACTGATGAAAGTTCCAGATCAACGCTCATCTGGAAGGTCCCATCATTATTGGGTAAGATCTCTCCAGGATCCACACCTTCACAAAGCTTCTCTCCATCTTTCCTCCAAAACATCTTGGCTCTGTCAGGGTAGAAACCTGTAGCGTGGCAGCTGACTGGAGAGGAGGGAGTCCTCTGGAGGACAGACACTGAAGGAAGAGCTGGAGAAAGATTGGCAGTTGTATAATTTTCTTTTTAATCATACTCTGCTTTAGAAACAAGAAAGTCATTTAAGTTTATGTAACTGCACCTGTTGTCTGCAAAAAGCTTCTGCCATACTGCACATACTTCTTCAACAACTCATGGCATTCATAGATTAAAAAGTTTTTGTTATATTCTAATCGGGGTTCTTCAGCATCCCATCTCAGTTTGGTGACGACTGCCTGTGGTTTTGGAGCAATCCATGTCAGTGTCTCCAGGTCCAATGCTAAAAAGTCTTCTCCATCATAACCATACTGATTGAACCCATTAATCTGTCCAGTCTCATCATCCCATTCACAGCCACTCATCCTCTGCAAAATATGAACACCTGAAAAAGGAGACAGAATGCCACAAAGTAATACTGCAGACAGAAAAACAGAGGATGAATGGGTAGTGCCACTGGTATAAAATATACTTTATAAACTTATGAGCAATGTGGAAAGGTCACACTTTTAATTTCAGCAGTAACAACTAGAACAAATCCATACCTTCACTTTGGTTGAAACGTTGCCTTAAACTATCAATGCGACCCTTGAATGAATGATGACTATCCAAACATTGAAACGTGTACCACTCCAGCCGCCGCGGATAATCCTTAAAGAGTTTTTTAATCCAGTCAGTTTTAAGATCTGGTCCCCTTCTGTTGCTATTGCAGCTTCCTATCTGAACTTCATCAAGAAGAGCAGCAGCCACAAACTCTGGGATGCTCTGGGCTCCAGAGGTTTCAGTGGAGAAATACTTCAAGGAGTGTTTTACTGTGAAATTATAAAATAATTGTGACTTAGAATTAGGTATATACTTTCTTGTATGACTGTTTGTAATATATTTAAGGAATGTCTTGACATTAATTACTAAAATTAATTTTGATATCATTTATTGAAGTATTCATCATTCAGTAACCCACATAATCCTTTTGATGGGGTACACATGTCTACAGGAGGATGGGGTAAATAAACTTGAATTTCAATCAGTCATAAATTAAAAATAATTAAACAGGGCTCTATGTATCCAGCCCCCCGAGAAAGATTTCTGGGGCTGCTTACATTCCTCCGGCCTTGATAAAATTCCAACAGCTCATAGTGAAACTAAAAGTCTGTCACTTGAAATTCAGGGTAATATAAGTAAAGGGAAACATTACGATATTTGAAATATAATCTTACCTAGAGACGCAGCATGACAGCAGAGGAGTAATATGAACAGATTCTTCATCTTATTTTGCATTTTTAAATTTGCTAAATCCAGAAAAACAACTGAGACTTCATGAGCGACTTGTCCAAGTTCATTTTTTGATGGGCTGGTCCAAAGTTTTGAGTCATAAAGAATTAAATATTAACCAGCATATACTTTGAATACAGTAAATTACTGTGTTTGGGCCATGGGTCATGTTCTGATATCAGTTGTTCACATCTCTTGTTTAACAGCGACTGGAACAAAAGGTCCTAATTTCCTGAATCATTTTTGAACAGCAGCCTCTGAAGAACCTCTACTAAAAAGACTTCCTACAAATTCTTTAATATTATGAATTAGAAAAAGGTGCTTGGAGTGATTATGGGCAAAAAAAAAAACCCTCCTCACCTCATTATGAGAAATAAAAAAACAATCTTTTCAATTAAAGGGATTGTGTGTTGGCACTTCAACAGCTTAAAAATATTAAAGAGAAAATATAGAATGAAAATTAACCTCTTAAGCCCCAAGCCTACTTGATCTCCTGCCTTTTGCCCCTATATCAGGGGGTAATAGGGCCTAAGAGGTTAAGAACTGTACAAAAAAATAAATAAAATTAAGTCCATAATTTTCTAATATTACTGTACTCATTTGAAAACTATAGATGCCGCTTGCTGAGGTTCATTTATCTGTGATGGAAATGAAAAAGCAGAGACGAAAAAGTTTTACAACACAATTACTAATTGAAGTTCAAAAAGGAGAAACTACAGAAATAACTTAAAGAGAAAAGGAATTTGAGGAACAAGCAATTAGTCAATTAGACTCCAATAAACAACATAGAAGAACAGAGTCCCTACAATGATAGAAAGCAGAACGGGATCCTGTGATACCAGTCTATGCACTGGTGATGGGGAAGATGAAGCAGGTGGAGGCCTGGATAAGACGCTCTGAGTGACCATGTTGAAGTAGAGGGGAGAAGGTGGATCGCATGAGATGAGAATCTGGCAGGTGAAGAAAACTGAGATTTAGAGGCTTATTGGCTCACCTAAGGCAGCAAGAAAATGATTGGACTACGGTAGTGATGACAGAGTTTGACACCATGGAAAAGCATGAAGAAGATCAGACAGGAAACCCAAATGAAAGAAAGCAGTCAGACAAGTAGATATAGATCTTCTTTATTAAATTTATTTGAAATTTAAACAGTAAAGTTATGAGCAAAACAGTGGCAATTAATCACCTGCCTCAAATGAACACAAAGGGAGTCCAAGTTATACTGGTTGAAAATGAGCTGCTTTGTATGCAAGACTGGTATTTTTCCAGAACCTGCAGAGGAGGTGAACATCACTGGAGTAGGTTATGTGACACTGTGGAAGCAACTGGTGACATTCTGGAGAAATGTAAGGCAATAAGGTCCTGGTATTTATATAAAGCAGACGTACATTTTACAATAAACAGATGCTTCTGTTTCTTACACTCAATAAAATATAATGAAATAAAAGCATTGGGGATAAAGATAATGGATTAAAAACACATGCAGAGTCACCAACGATATATAGGATAGTAAAGATTAGGATAATTCTGTGTTATTATTATTGATATCATTGTTTGCTGGGTCTGTTTTTGTTTCACCTCGTTCAGGTCCTAATTAACAGCTCATGGCTCACATACCATATATCATAGAACCAGGAAACAGTCCTGCATTCAACACGCTTCTCTTCAGCTCCATGCCTTTCCCCAACAAAATTAAGACGTTTCTTTCTTACTTTGTGTTATTTTGTTTTGTTCTGTTTTGTTTTGTGTTATTTTATGTTACTTCACTCTTGTTATGCTGCATTTTTCATGTCATGTGCACTTCATGTTTGTGTGTGAATTTAAATGTTAGGGACACTTAAATGTGTAGCATGACATAACCACATATTACTCACAGGAAAAGGCAAAATAAATAATAACAAAGTTACAAAATGAATATTAAATTTATGGGAAAAAAACTGACCCTGCAGCAGGTCACATGGTAAAACCAAGGATACACATGGTGTTATTTCTTTGCCTTAAACAGAAAAACACTCTCTGAAGTTCTTCCTCACATCATCAAGTGGAGTAACCGAATTCTCAGATTTTGAGGCTGTTGTTTTGCTTAATGAAGTAGAGATGGCTTACTATGACAGCAGCACCGAGTGTCAAGGCACTTGTGTGAAGGCAAGAGAGGACCCAAACGCACGGCTCAAGACACACGGGTATAAACTCAAAAGGCAGGTCTTTATTAATAGGAACATAAAAAGTCATACAAAACTATACTGGGAGAAACTAAAGCTGAGGCACTGGGAAGACACGAGGGAATGCATACAACCTAGAGGGACGACACAACACAGAACAAAGGGACACTCTGACATAAATACACAGAAGGTAATGAGGGGAGTGGGAACACACGGGGAACACAGGCAATTACTCATGACAGAGCGGGGAGGACACGAAACTGAAAAAACTGACACCAAGATGCGGACCTTAAACACAACACAGAGTACACAGAGAGAAGCAAAGAGAGAGACAGAGAACATGAAGGGATACACGAGGGGATGAGGAGAACACAGAACACAGAACACAAAGGGTGGGAACACGGTACCAGAACAAACACCACAATATAAGCACGGACACAGGGGGAATCCAAATACCAACCAATCCTATGAACATAAAGAACAAAATACAAAACCACAGGAAAACTAAGAACACTGGGTCAAAATGACCCAGGACCATGACACCGAGAAAATTGAGCTGACGCAACACTGGATTAGCACCGTAATGAGCACCGAATTTTGGAAAAACTTTGTTATGAAGGCTTACCCTGAAAACCTTCAGAAATATTTAAAGTTCTGGAAAAGCTCTCAGCAGAAAACAGGTAAACAGGACACAGCAATGCTCCTCTGTGGTTTTAATGTGCAGTAACTTTTCAGCAGCTCACAATCTTTTCTCCTTGTTTCCCTGTACACAGCTTATGGTTCACTTTTCTTCTGTTCTCGGGATTATATCTGTCTTTGTCTTTGATTCCCAGAAAGTTGATTCTGTTGATGTGGACGTAGCATTTTCAATGTAGAGAAATGTTTCTCCTGCTTTGCTTACCTGGATGATTGAGCATGCATCGAGACATTTGTCTCTTATTCTTCCCTCTTAGCCTTTTGTTCCCCTGGTGTGCAGGGTATATACTTGACTACTTATTTTACTTTCTGGTGATATTGGATTTACTATTCATGTAATTTGTGTACTGGGAGTACCTTGCCACTTGTCAAGATGGCAGTGAATCTCTCCTTCACTGCAGTTCTTCTTTCAGTGTCTCTCCTCCAGAAGACTCCCTCCTCTCCAGTCAGCTGTGACGCTACAGTTTTGTATCCTGACAGAGGCGTGATGCTCTGGAGGAAAGATGGAGAGGAGATTGATGAAGGTGTGAAAAAAGAAGAGAAGATCCCAAACCATGACAGGACCTTCCAGACGAGTGTCGATCTGAATGTTTCATCAGTCACATCTTAGACTGGAGGAGATAGGACTGTGTGTTTCAGCTCTCTAATGACAGCATCATCACCAAACTTGACAAAGGAAACAAACTGAGGTAAGTCTAAAGCTAGATTTTTCACACAGTCATCTAACAAGCGCTCGTTAAAAATGCCATGTGTTGTTTTTGTTCAGCAGAGAACCAAACTGACATTATTATTGTCATCATGGCTGCTCTGGGATTTTTTGTTGTCGTCATCATCGCTTGCAACCCTCGCATTAATGAAAATGATGAAAATTAAGTGACAATCTTGTTTAATGTTTGAGTCTAAAACTGTCAAAAGAAAGTAAACAAACAGGGAAAATATTTGCTTTTGTTTTTCATACATATGTGTCATACACGTTGTCACTCTCACGTAGTTACATTTTTATATTTACACATTTCCCATACATGTGTTTTCTGTTATGATAGGCTGTGTGGCAGGCAGGCAGGAAAAAGGACCCAAAAAGCAGGAGTCTCAAAGACAGGACTGGAACTCAAAACGCAGCTTTTATTGCTGGCAAAACCTCATAAAATAAAACTCACAAAAAACAAACTCAGGCACTGGAACATGACAAACACACAACATGTAGAGGGCACAACACGACAGACAGCAAAGGAAAACACAGCACTTATATACACAGGGAGTAATCAGAAGATGGGAAACAGGAGGGAGACACAGTTGGATTAGGGCTAAGGAGACAGGGGGAAGTAAAACTGAATATAATGTCATAGGACTTGGAACCATCAAAATAAAACAGGAAACAAGAAACAAATCACAAAGATGCAAATTTGACGCTGAACTAAACCTAGCATAATAATCAAAGCACAACTTAAAGAACCAGAGCATAAATCCTAACATAGAAAAAAACACCAAAATATAAGAAAAATGAACCAGAACCATGACATTTTCACTTACGCATTTCTACAGTTTGCTCTTATGCACATGCATTCAATATGCAATTAATCTTACAAATGATATATGTATGTAAGAGAAGAATGTATGTGTGTGAAAGAATATAGTGGAAACAGAAGGAAGGCTGTACCACTGTGATTGGTCTAGAAACACGTGCGGGATCACGTTCTGTGATGTGGTGTCTATCAGCATGGAAGGGGGAGAAGAAATCTGAGTACTTGGGGTTTTATAAAAATGTTTTATTGTCTCCTGAAACTGTCATATCCTTGTCTTCATCACTTGATTTTTAGGCAGACAAGTGACAACGAGGTAGCTTCAACAAACCAAGTAGCTACGTGAAGTCAGACTGGAGTGGAGAAGGCTTTGTGATATCAGACCCAGAAACACTACCGTTCAAGGAAAAGGTAAGAACAAACAAGCTGCTGATTAACTGTACATTTGGGAAATACTAAATATCATAATTTTAAAAATATTTTTAGCACTGTAGTTGAATTGGGGCATTTGGGTTTTTTATTATTGTATTTTATTATATTACATTTTTATATTACTTATTTTTATTCAAGACTCACTGAAGTTAAATTGTCAAAGCTCTTAACATTTTGTGTTTATGCACATGCTTTT